CACCATAACCCCAAACCTCACCCTAATCCTAACCATAACCTGAACCCTAACCCTGATTCTATTAGTCACCCTCACCCTAACCCTCACCCTAATCCTAACACTAACCCTAACCTGAACCCTAACCCTAAACTGAACCCTAACCCTCACCCTAATCCTATCCCTAATCCTAACCCTCATCCGACTCCTAATCCTAGCCCTCACCCTAATCCTAACCATAACCTGAACCCTAACCCTGATTCTAACAGTCACCCTCATTCTAATCCTAACCCAAATCCAGACCCTAACCCTAATCCTAACCAAAAAAACTTTAAAAACAACAAATAGTCTTGCAGCACCTTAGAGACTAACAAACCATGTAGCTGGTATCATGAGCTTACGTGGGCACAGCCCACTTCTTCAGAGGGCGGGAGTTGTAAAAGGTCCAGTAACCCTAACTCTAACCCAGACCCGAACCTGAACAGCTGCTTGGTTTGCTCCTCAGCTCTACGACTGGGAGCAGCTCCAGAAATGTGTCATTCCTGATCACCCAGGAGCTGCCTGCGCACCGGAGCGATCCCGGAACAGACCCCGGCCCTGCTATGCTTCTCAAGGGCCAGCGCTTTGCGCCTGAACCCCTCTGGCTTGTTGTGGGGAGAGGGAGTGCTCAGATGAACCCCCCGATGCAAGCCCACCCTGGCCTGGTTCCCAGAGAGGAGGGAAGGAATACGAGCAAAACCCTTCCCATCAGACTGTGGTGCTGTCACAGTTGAACCCAGACCCTGGCTCCGATTCCCCCTAGACTGATCCCAAACTCCGGCCCCGGTTCACCCCAGAATCCCACCCCAGCTTCGAGCAAACCCCTGGACCTCAGACCTTAGCTCTGATCCCTTCTAGAAACCCAGCCCCCGGCTGGGAGCCCTCAGCTAACACTATCCCCAGCACGGGACACCAGCCTCTCTTCATCCCCTCACCGGGGCAAACGGGTGAGTGGCTGGTTTGGTGGCCTGGGGCTGCCCCCACCCACAGGAGCTGGGAGGGGGGGATCTGCCCTCCCCTCCGCCCCCGGGGCCACAGGAGGCGGCTTTACCTCGAAAGCCTGCACGGGAATGCTCTTGGCTTTGCGGCAGGAGGGCTGGGCCGGGGCAGACTGCGCGGTGGAGCTCATGTCCTGGAGAGCTTTCAGAGCCTGACGGGGGAGAGAATCCACACGGCCCGGTCATGCGCGGCACCCGCTGGGTCTCCTGCTCCTTTGCAGCCTGGGACTGGCTCTCCCGGCGTTAGCCCTGCCCCACCGCTGCTACGGGCTGCGCTGTGGGATGCAGCCTGGTTCCTGCTGGGATCAGCAGATCCCTCGCCCCCTCACCACACCCTTGGGTGTGTAGTTGTTTGCCGGGCTCTGTCCACCATGTGGCCCCAGGAAAACGCATGGGAGGTGAGAGACCAGCAGGCACAGCCAGACGAGGGGCCCAGCCCTGCCCCGGCGTGAGCCAGGACCTGGCTAGGCCAGACAGCGCAGTCACAGAGCAGGTGGAAATCACGCTGTTATGCCACGGCTGGCTGGCTCTGGCAGGGGCTGTGAGTCCCCTACCACAGCTGAGCGGGCCCGGGCAGGACTGAGAAGATGGGGGTCAGACCCACAGAACCCTGGCACCATCGGAGTCAGTGGGGACGATGGGTGCTCTGTGCAGGTGACAGACAGGCTGTGGCTATGTGACTTGCCCATGCCCCATGAGGGAATCGGTGTCAGAGCGCCTAGGTTCCCAGCTCTGCCCTGCTGCATGGGTCAGTCCCTCACTCCCACGGCCGAACCCAGCAGCAGCAGGATGCAGCTTGGGGCGTAGCACCAGCCAGAGTGACCCTGCCACGCGTACGGCATCCCATGGCAACACAGAAACGGGGCCTGCGTCCACAGTCCAGCCCCCCCGGATCCATGCAGATCAGACGGGTTTGTGTCTCCAGCCCTGTTCTGACACAGGCCTAGGGGGGCTTAAGGGGCCGGGCCAGTTCACTCGCCTTCTTCTCGATGCTGGACAGGAAGTCCTTCAGGACCGACAGCTTCAGCACCAGGCTCTCCAGCTCCTGTTCTCCTGTCTGGCCGGCAGGCTGCAC